GGAAACAGGCTGGGGCCTGTAGGTCCTGTCAGAAGGAAGCTTCCAGGCAAGAGCCTGGAAGTTTCCCTGTAGGGAAACAGGCTGGGGCCTGTAGGCAGCCTGGAAGTTTCCCTGTAGGGAAATAGGTTGGGGCCTATACAGCATGTAACACGTATCACTCACAACCTTGTTCCCCAACTCACAGATGCCACATGCACCCAAGGACCACCATGCGCCCCATCCAGCATACAACAGCGCACTTCCAGCTGGCCCGTGAGTGCGTGAGCGCTGGCCAGCGTTAGCGCAGCAGCGCTTGCGCAGCATGCAGCCAGTGCCCGAATGTCGAATGCGTGTGCAGGCCCTTTCCTAAATGGAAGTGGCCTGCCTGCCTTGCGTGTATCCTGGCTACGCTGGGCCCCTGCCCAGAAGCTTCTGGTAGGCCCAGAGAGGCTGAGCCTCAAACCAAACGGATCAGGCCCAAGGCCTGTGACAGTTACCCGTGCCCAACTGCCCGCAGCCTGAGTTGGGTCCATGCTGCGTATCTCGCCCAGGGCCTGACTCAGATGCATTTGATAAAGGAGGCCAGGGCCTGGGCGCTTTCAACCAACTGGCGCTGCGCAACTGCCTGAATTTTTCCCCCAGTTGCGAAGTAGTCCAAAAATAGGCCTCTTGTCGGCTGTCGAGCCTGCCTTCACTTAGGGTGCCGACACTGCTGCAAATAGGGGCCCAGTAGGGCTTATCGAGGCCTTGTGCCTCGCATTAGCTATATTTTATGCTTTTATTTGGCAAAGACAAAATAGCTGACAGATCTAATATGGAGACTTGAAGGAAAAGAAACATCACATCATTCTGACACTCCAGACAAACTTGAACACAAACAGATGGAATGCTGATGAATTGGTTCGCAACAGGGTACAGAAACTGATGAGGACAACTCTGTCACTACTCCTATGTTTTCTCTGTGCCTTATCTTTATGCCTTGCCTGATTCTACACACTGTATCTGCAACTGTGTGAACCTTGGGTGATATGAACTGTGGCCAAAACCAGCAGAGTGCTCGTTCATTGTCAACGAAACTGGCCAAAACACACACAGTCTGTGAGGACGGCCTCCTAGACTACCCTGCCCGACATCAGTGACTCCCTGCCTCAGTGGGTGGTGGGAACCAACAGTCTGTGGGGGTTGCCTATTGGTGATGACGGATGGTCGTTGGAGTGACTCCCTGCCTCGGTGGGTGGTGGGAACCAACAGTCTGCGGGGTTCAATCGTGATGTGAGTAGGTCATGTGCTGCCTTGCTCCGTGTTGGATGTGTGGACTGCCTCGTCTGCGCTCTGCCGGCGCCTTGCTGCCTGTCCCGCTGGGTTCGCATGTGGTTCTCTGCAAATCACTGTGTTCGCTGCGTGGTGTGGCTGTGTTGTTGGTGTTGCCTTGCGCTTCGCTGCTCCGCTGTCTTGCTGCTCATCCGCTGGCCGTGCCTTCCGTGTTTTCCGCTTGTGTGCCTTGTAGGTTGGATGCCTCGTTGCAGTGTGGTTGTCTTTCTTGTGTTGTCTTGTGCTTCACTACACGGTTGCCGCGCTGCATGTCCTCCGTGCCATGTCGTTCCTCACAGTCGTTTTTGGTGTTGTGCAGCGATGTTGCCTCTACTGTGTTGCCTGGTGTTCCACAGGGTTGCTGCCTGCTGCTATGTTCCGCTTGGGGACAGTCTGCCTTCAACAAGGGTCAAAGGGTTCATGACCCAAACCATCAAATACGGAGATTGAGCAGATTGTAGAGGGTTCAGCCTCCTGATGAGTCGGTGCCACTCCGACGAACCAATCTCGTTATCATCAGTTTTATTTTTTTAGGTCTTTCGTGTTTTCAAATTTGAAGGTATTTTTTAATTTGCTGGTTTCATGTGCTTGCGTCGTCTGCCCTCTCACCTCCTTTGCGCATAGAGGCTCCTGCCTTCGCTATTTGTTGCCGCTTGTCAGCTGATACCTTGTTGTCCTATGCCGTTGTGTCACTTGTGTGCCCACCCACCTCCCCCTTGCCCTCCAGCCTTTCGCCCTTTGTTGATGCCGCATGCCTTTTTCCCTCACTGTCTTTTTTCTGCCTTCCCCTAGTTGCTGCGCATTGTTTGTTTCAGCTCACGGCTTAGTGCCCTCGGGCTCCAGTCCTTGTGTCTTTTTAGGAAGGTCAGTGAGGTCGTGCATACCCAGTCGAATGGAATATTCGCTTGGATCAGGGTGTGATTAGTTCAATGCTGTGATGTCTGTGCTTTTGGCATTATTTATGTTGTGTCATATATAAATGCGGCTTGTTGCATGAGGTGCAATGGACTCATCTCTCACCACACACACACACAAACACACGCACACACACACACACACACACACACACACACAAACGCAAGTGTGCAGATGCATGCAGACACACAGATATGCACCAAGTTTTAAAACAAAGAATGTACAAAACAGACAGAGAAGCCGTTGGGAGAACGGGAATGGGCTAAGAAAAGCACAGAGATGAAAACAACTACAGAGGTAAGATACACATGAGCAAAACAAAGAGGCAACAATGACCACCAACCACCATCCGGTGTTTGATTAGAGGAAGAAGAAGGCAGGAAGAAGAAGGCATGATGTAAAAGTGACAAAGAAGGGAAAACGTTTTTCTCCCTCGGAGACATAAGTTTATGAAATGCTGGGGTGATGGATTTGGAGGAGCTTGTGCTCATGGTCGTCCTTCCTGCGTTCATGTCCTACCTCTTCATGCATGATGAGTAGGTGGAGATGGATTGGTAGGTGGTGGTTGTCATGGTTGACCTTCCTGCCTTTATATCCTACCTCTTTGTTCTCTGTTTTTTTCTTTGTTTTTTTTCCTGGTCATACCTCTTTGTGATGATGAAGACACTCAAAGTAGTCCTCCCGCAGTTTGAGACATTGCGCAGGTTCTTCGCATTGGGACATACATTCCGAAAAGTCCATCCAAAATGGGTAACATCGCCCCATACCACCAGTCACGCCAAATCCAGAAGCCATATTGCCTCAACCTAGGATATCTACGTGGTGGATATCCAGATATATCCAGATTAGGAAAGTAGAGCTGCCACGTAGGATGAGGATATCCACTAAGCCTCCACGTAGGACTGTCTCTGGCTCAGCTTTCCAGATTAGGAAATGGGGACGCTTTCCGATATCGAACCCGCTGGCTCCTCCTCAGCTCTGCATGACAACATGCACACGAGGAGATCAATTTTATCCAGATTAGGAAAGTTGAGATGACACGTACGATAAGGATATCTGAACTAGGACTCGTGGTAGGACTGTCTCTGGCTCAGCTTTCCAGGTTAGGAAATGGGGACGCTTTTCAATATTGAACCTGCTGGCGGGTCCTCAGCTCTGCATAAGAACACGAACACACAGATTAGGAAAGTTGAGCTGACACGTAGGATAAGGGTATCTTAACTACGGCTCCACATAGGACTGTCGTTGGCTAAGCTTTCCAGATTAGGAAATGGGGACGCTTTTCAGTATTGCACCCGCTGGATCATCCTCACCTCTGTCACAACAACACGTACACCGGAGGGATCAATATTATCCAGATTAGGAAGGTAGGCATCCTCACCTCTGTCACAACAACACGCACACCGGAGAGATCAATATTATCCAGATTAGGAAGTTAGGGGGCTTCAGCGGGCATGTTCCCACGCTGACGTGCCCAACTACCTATGTGGCACAACTTTCCAAATCAATATCATCCAGATTAGAAAAGTAGGTGGCTTCAGCTCATGCACCACTGACGGAAAGGCATCAGTGAAAAATGAAAATAAAAAAAAAGGAAAAAAAGAACTTTTCCGGTTGGGGTCCCCATTCCAGTAATGAATCCAATAATTTGCGACCCCGATTAAGACCTGTTGGCGGCGGAACCCCCAAATAACAGTGTATCGAAAATAATAGTTTGGGTTGGGTTCCCATTTGGGTGGTGAATCGCACAATTTGGGACCCCGATTAAAACCTATGCGGGGAACGAGTCCCTAGCAAAGCCCTTAGGCCGCTGCAGCGAATACAGAGGGGGACCCCCAGCAATTTCCATGCCCACCCTAAGTGAAGAGGGGGCCAGCATTCTTCCTTAACGGCCTTTTTCAGGCCATATTTTGCACGAGGGGGACCCCCAGAGGGTGAAGTCCCAAAGGGAGTATCCGGTGTGTAAAACACCTTTCCTGCTCCAATTTGGATTTGAAAATTGGTCATAATTTTGTTTCCAAGTGTGTGGCAACGAAATGGAGAGACGAGTAAAACCACGAAACGAACACGAGATGCATCTAAAGGTGTTTTTTTTTGTTCTTGTTTTTTTTAATGTAGCTGAAAGACATGAAAAGTCGGAATGTTCAGAAAAGAGGTAATTCTTACCTCAAATTTCTAAATATAGTGCTTCCATCCCTTCTCCTCCTCCTACTAATTCAGCTTAGCCGCTTGGTTGAGCATGCAACTCCCATGAGGGAGGTCGCATGTTCGATCCTTGAGATCGGATCATGGACGGAAAATGCAATTCTTGCTTAGCGCAGTAACCGCCAGCAAGGAAGGAGACACATTGACTGGTGGCTGCATCGACAGGCCTGTGTGGTCGGGTCAGGTGTGAGTGTGACTCGGTGTGAAATGCAATTCTTGCTTAGCGCAGTACCCGCCAGCAAGGAAGGAGACTGACTGGTGGCTGCGTCGACAGGCCTGTGTGGTCGGGTCAGGTGTGAGTGTGACTGGGTACACCGGGATGCGGGAAACCGTGCCGGGTTGGGGTTAAGTACCCCAATCTTGGGGCTTAGCTTTCGCCCCAGTCATCTGAGCCGTTTGGTTGAGAGCATGCAACTCACATGAGGTAGGTAGCGTGTTCGGATCTTGAGGTCGGATCATGGATGAAAAATGCAATTCTCCTCGTCCCCTCCTCCTCCCCTCTTTTAAACTTTCTTTTTTGAAACTCTTCTTTTATACTTTGTACTTCTTCTTCTTCTTCTTCTTCTTCTTCTTCTTCTTCTCCTCCTCCTCCTCTGAACTCCATATCTAAACTTTATTCCGTTCGTCTTCCTCCTCTAAATTTTCATTCTTCTTCTTCTTCGTCGACGTCGTCGTCGTGTCTTCTTCCTCTTCTTCCTCTTCTACCTCTTCGTCCATCCTCCTCCTCCTCCTCCTCCTCCTCCTCCTCCTCCTTCGTGGCGATGGTGGCAGTCATCCCCCTTCATCCTTCATTTTCGTCCTTATCTCTCTTTCGTTTTTTTTTTCCCTTATTTCTACCTTCTTCTCTTTCGTTCTTCTTTTTCCTGTTTTTTTCCCCCCAACCGATACTACGCAAATTTTCTGCCGCTAACGACCCATCAGCCAATCAGGGTCGGCTAACTACCTTCCTCCCCCGAATACAGCATACGGTCATTATTGCTGTACTGCATGACCCGTTGCGGCTTCGCCCGCAAAAACAGAAAAGGAAAACGCACAAAAGAAAGAAAAACGCATAACGAACCGCCCTATCATATGCCGCTTCTTTCACAATAAGAAAAAGAAGAGCCTGAGAGCAGACTGAAATCCGCGTGCAAGAAAATAGGAGGGAATACCACCGAACCTTTTTTTTCCTTTATCTGTGAGTCTTTTGTTTGGGAAGCCTTTACCTTTACAGCATCGTTTTCTTTTTGTGCTGTGCAAGAACTCTGAACGTTTCTGAGAAAATCCTCCCCGTTGTCCCGTTGATGTTTTTGCTCAAGTTTCCGATTCAGATTCAGACTTTGTTTGCTGTGTTCTCTGAATATGATCTTGCATGTATGCCCCGTGCTTACTTGTTGAGTTTTGACTCTATGTGTGCAAGTGCATGCACATGTGGGTGAGTCTCAGTTTGATGGGCTCCGATGATGTCATTGATGATTGGCCCGGGGAAGTTGTTGGAAGTCGCCTCCAACTACAGGAGTGGGAGGGGGGAGGCAGGGGGAGAGAGAGAGAGAGAGAGAGAGAGAGAGAGAGAGAAAGAGAGAGAGAGAGTTATTGATGGAAGTCGCCTCCGATGATGTCATTATTGTCACTGATGATATTAAGCAGGTTTTGCATTGTATGAATGAAACAATCAGCATTCAATCTGCTTGGCAGTTGCTCTTGGCGTGGGGGACTTGTCGGGAGAAGCATTCACATGGGAGCCGTAATGCCGGGCGTTCATCTTGCAACATTTCCTGGAAGGCAAAAGGCAAAGAAGAAACGAAGTATCTCGTGCCCCCCCCCTTCTCTCTCCCTCTCTCTCTCTCTCTCTCTCTCTCTCTCTCTCAGCCTTGGCAAAGTTTGCTAAGTTCTCCGGGTGTCTCGGGCGGGAAAAGCTCTCCAGACTGTACCCCGGCGTTGTAAAGTATGTCTTTTCAGTAGCAAGGGAGTGTAGGAGTTAAGTAGAGTTGAGTAGAGTTAAGTAGATTTAAGTAGAGTTAAGTAGAGACGGTGTACTATGTCCGCAACGAGTGGGTTAGTAGGCTGTTTTTTGAAGTATGGAGTGGGACAATTTTGTGGGTCACGGATTCTCATAAATTCAGAATTCGGGAAAATCCGTGGTGCTATGCGAGCACAGTAGTCAGCAGACTTCCGGACCTCTGAGTCCCGACGGGGGTTTCTTTTTTCTTTTCTCTTCTTTTTTTTCTTTTTTCTTTTTTCAGAATCCACTTTTTCCCCTTCTTTTTCTTTTTCTTTTCTTTTCTTTTTTCTTTTTTTTTTCTTTTCTTTTTCTTTTTCTTTTCTTTTCTTTTCTTTTCCTTTTTCTTCGAAGTAGGATGATGTACAAACTGGCCAGAACGAACGCGGGTAAGCATAGCAAGTAACGCTGAGGTTTTTTTTTTTTTTTTTTTTTTYTTTGTATCTCTTATCTTTTCGAAGCTCGACCTCGCCGAAGTAGTCGGGAGTAAGTTCAGTAAGAACGCCGTGTTTTCTTGCAAGCGTGTCCGCCATAGCAGGCGCATCGACGGTAGCCGTTTTTGGAAGAAGAGAGATGGGGAATGGGGTATGTCAGAAGGAAGTTGAAAACAACAATGGGAAAGAGGAAGGGCGGGAAGGGTATGTGGTACAGGGCGAGATACTATTCACGAGGATGAGCGAGTACAGACCTATAGGAGTGGAGAGATGGGATTGCGATCCGAGGGTAGAGGTTGGTGAAGGGAATGGGATTGCAACCTTGCCGAGGGTAGGAGTACGGTAGCGAGTAGTATGGAGATACGTACAAGCCTCCCCCCCCCCATTGACTTTGAGCTTGGAACCCTTTACTCCACCCCGTCCTTCCCCTAACCCCGCCTGTCCCTCCCCCCCGCCAACTTGTCAATCCCCTGATGAGTCGGTGAATAGTCCGATTGCGCCACGTGGCTGAAGTTGTGTATAGAGAACATGACAACACACCAAACAAAAAAGAAAAAAAGAAGAAAAAGGCGAAACAGCTGCCCGAGCCTTTAACCTCCCCGGCTGCTGCCGACTTCCCCCAACCTTCCCCTCTCTCTCTCTCTCTCTCTCTCTCTCTCTCTCTCTCACACACACACACACACACACACACACACACACACACACACACACCGTTTTCCCGCGCCGCGGCTGAGGGGGGCACATGGGTGGTGGGTGATGGA